AAAAACACAGATTTTATTTCCTTGAGGTAAACTGTTTTGAACAAAAATCTTTTACTTTCTGCAGGGGTTGAACCTTGTTCTCAGGCTAGCTTGGCTGCTAACAGTTTTACACTACAATTTTGGAAGTGTAGATTACAGAGTAACTGGATTATTTTTAGCAGCACTAGAAGTCATTAGAAGAGGAATGTGGAATTTTTACAGGTAAAATGAACACTTTCCAATGTTGCTTCAAGGTTAAAAATCTCATAATTTTGACATTGTTCCCCATCTATTGCTCCATCTCCTTCCATTGGAAATTAAGGATTTCAATGTCGAGAAACAACTTGGAAGTACTGTGGCTATTCGAATTTTTTTTTGAAGTTCATTGTTCGAAAACAACAATGCAACTAAAACCATTAGGATTTTTTACCATCGCTTCATTCGCTGCACAACCACTTGTACTGTGCTAAACCAACTCATCCAAAAGCTTGGCAAAGAGGGAACACATTTAGTTATTCAAATTTTTTATCTTAAACAAGCCCCCATGCAGACAGATGCACAATTTTTCATAAATAGGTGATAACGAAGATTTATCCCGAGAGGGTATACCATGTTGGACCAACTTGTTTGGGGTGGATCAACATACTCAACATCCAACATTCCAATTGCTTATTTGAACAATTATTTTGATACAGATTGGAGAATGAGCATCTGAATAATGCTGGCAAATTTAGAGCTGTGATATCTGTGCCACTTCCTTTTCATGAAATGGATGATCAAGATTGATGATGCCTATTCACACCAGATGCTAAAAGAATACCAGTTAGGAGTCATACAACTTGTTCAAAGTACTGTAAATTCCATTGTACATGTTTATTATCAAGATATGTTGAACGAAAAGAAAAGTAATAAGAGTTCAGGAAAATAATGTATACATGTACACAGAAAATGTATATAAAATCAAGAATTATGCTATTTGTACAATGTTTTTGTACAACATTGTTGACAACGTTCGTTGTGGCAAAAAAATTATTGGTTGAAATGATGAATTGTTTTTTAAACTGTCTAATGACAACATGCCATGCCACATGGCATGATGTCAAAATCATTGTACACCAAACATTGTTCAAAAATCAAATGATTTTGTGGCATAGAGGTGTAGAATGGGTCCAGGTGATGCCAACACATAATTGATGAATGCCCGGGCGAACACAAGCCATGCTCTGGACCCACCCATCACCCGTGCAGGCTTTTAAAAAACTGCCATGCCCCCCTGTCCCCAAGCCAGGCCATTAAAAATACTGGCGTGCCAGGCAATGGCAATGACACTGCCAACTGAAAGTATGTGAACTAGTAAAACAACCAAAGATAAAAGCATTACAGGCTTAGTGCCGCTCATATCCTTCAGTAAACCTTGAGAGAAACCTAAATTCTATTCCAATTGGAAACAAATTGTCCCGTGCAGAATTATGATAGCAAGTATGTGAACTAGTAAAACAACCAAAGATAAAAGCATTACAGGCTTAGTGCCGCTCATATCTTTCATAAACCTTGAGAGAAACCTAAATTCTATTCCAATTGGAAACAAATTGTCCCGTGCAGAATTATGATCGCAAGTATACAGAATTCAAACTGTTACATAAGAAGTCTACCTAATTTATTTAAGATGTAGAATATTTCACAGTATCATTTCAACATAATGAAAAGAAAAATGTTCATCTTCCAGTTGCTTACAAACAGAACATGATGTTGAAGGCATCGTGCATCTTAGAGAAGAACTTCGTGGGGCTGTGCAAAATAGGAAGGCATGAAGGTGGTGTGGGAGGCTCGGATTTCTTCTCCTTTTCCCTTCTCCTTAACTGAAAAAATTGTTGCATAGCATCTGCACACTCTGATGCCAATACTCCTCGTCGAATTGTTATTTTTGGGTGGAACGGGTGAACTGGAGCAGCGGGCTTATCCATTTGTTCCAACCCATTTCCTCCATCTCCACTAGGAAAAAGCCTGCAGATTGTTAATCACGGATCAGATAAAACCAGTTTCCATTAATCAATGTTTAACAGTACTGCTACAGAGAAATTAGACATCAAACTGCAAAGCACCTTGCTAAATGGTGGAAACAAGTCTTATCTAGCTTGGAAGACTTTAAGCACTAATGATTACAATAAACATGTAAACCGGATCCTTCCAAAATGAACTAATTATGATGTGAGCCGATGGCCACGAGAATATAAATTAACCATAATTAGAAAATAGTTAGTATATATATATATATATTGTAGCAATGGAATTGGCAACAAATTTGAAGGTAAGCAACGTGAGACAATTTAGACTGAATTTTTGAAAGATAGATCCATCCACCTTGAATTACAGAAATGAGCAGAAAGAAACCAACGTATTTCTCAGAAATCATGGATTCAAGAGATTCAAGATTTGTGTAGCAAATAGAAATTTTATGATAAATTTGATACCAGATGGCAGATGAATACACACGAGAATTTGTTCAAACGGATGGAATCAACAATTTTATTTATTATACTCAATCAAAATCAGAAATTGAAATATAGTGATAGCGTCTATTTATAGACGGAAAGGAAAAGCGGGAAAAATGAAAAACGAACTAAACAAACTATCTTTATTACAAAGAAGGACCTAAACTAATGTAAGATGATCAATTAGGTCCTTGAGGATTAGTTTGTGTATAATTCGGACATCCCCCCCTCAAGTTGGATTTTGATGGAAATCCATCAAACCCAACTTGGAAACTAAGAACTTGAACTGAGGAAATGAAAGAGATTTCGTGAAGACATCCGCAACCTGAGCATTGGAAGAAACATGCTGTGGAAGGATGAGACCGGCATTGTACTGATTACGAACCACATGACAGTCAATATCAAGATGTTTCGTGTGCTCGTGGAAGATAGGATTAGCACTGATATGGAGGGCAGCCCGATTGTCACATGAGAGAGGAATCGGAAGATGAAGCTCAATGCAAAAATCCTGAAGAAGATACGTAATCCATTGAATTTCACTAACAGTGGCAGCCATGCTCCGATATTCAGCCTCTGCAGAGCTTCGCGAAACCGTTTGTTGCTTCTTCGATTTCCAGGAGATAAGAGCTCCACCCAAAAAAATACAATAACCAGTTAAAGACTTCCTAGAGTCCTGGCAAGAGGCCCAATCTGCATCACAGTAGGCTGCAAGCTTCAAACTGTTGGAGGAAGGGAAGAAAAGACCTTTTGACATAGTCCCCTTGATGTACCTGAGTAAGTGCAAAGCAGATTCCCAATGCGAAACGGTTGTTGAATTAACAAATTGACTTAGCTGCTGGACGGCATAAGACAAGTCTGGCCTGGTAAGGTTAAGGTAAAGTAATCTGCCTACAAGCCGGCGATACTGATCAGGTTGTTGATATGAAACGCCATCAGCAGTGAACTTATATCCCTTTGGCAGTGGGATATCCACAGGTTTTGATCCCATCCGACCATCATCAACAATAATATCCATGGCATATTTTCTTTGGTTAAGGTACAAACCATTTGTGCAACGAGCTATCTCTATCCCCAGAAAATATTTAGCATGGCCTAAGTCCTTGATGGTGAAGGTAGTATCAAGAAATTGCTTAACCTTCTGAATTTCATTGTCATCCGTTCCAGTGATGAGAACATCATCCACATAGACAAGAAGAACTGCAATAGCATGATCTGAACGGAGAATGAAGAGGCAGTTATCATGAGCAGACTGTGCAAAACTATATACTTGTAAATGCTTGCAAAATTCTGAATTCCATTGTCGACTAGCCTGTTTTAAACCATAAAGGGATCTTTTCAGTTTACACACCTCACCTTCCTTAACCTTCTTGTAAACTTCTGGAGGCCAAAGATATAACTCTTCTTCTAGAAAACCGTGCAAGAAAGCATTATTTATATCCAGCTGGCATATAGGCCAATTTTTTGCAGATGAAATGGAAAAAAACAATCTGATTGTCACTGATCTAGCTACAGGGGAGATGCTGTCCACATAATCAAGTCCAGCCACCTGATTATACCCCTTCGCCACTAGCCTAGCTTTACATCTATCCAGAGTTCCATCAGGCTTCAGCTTAGCTTTATAAACCCACTTCGATCCAATGAGTTTTTTTCCTGGAGGCAGGGGAACAATCTCCCAGGTCTCATTTTGTTCCAAGGCTGCAATTTCACTCTCCATAGCTTGAATCCATTCAGTCATTGTGCTAGCCTCTTTATAGGATTTTGGTTCTTGGATTGTAGATATGTTAGCCAGAAAAGGATAGTAACTTGGGTTAAAATTTTCAGATTTATGGAAGGGATAGGTATTTGGAGTGTATGAAGAAGATCTCAATGTATCAGATAAAGGAATAGAAGAAGAGTATGACAAATTACTCACAAAATCCTACATCCAAGTAGGTGCAGTTTTCTGTCTGTTACTTTTTCTAGTAAGAGGAACGGTCTGATGATCATCTGATTGGCCTGTCTTTTCCTGACTGAGATGATAAGCAACCGTAGGTTGGTTAATATTAGTAGAACCATTAGATAAAAGTTGAGAATCATTTTGGTTGTCAAGATCAGCAAGCACAGATGGAACTTCTTCAGAGGACAAATCAAACACATGTATAGGTATATGAGGCTGGAAATGAGAAGCCTCTTTATAAGGAAAAACCTCCTCATGGAAAATGACATCACGAGACAAAAACTTCTTTATTGATGAGATCATACAACTTAAAACCCTTTTGCCCTGTGTTATAACCTAGCAAAATACATTTAAAGCTTCGTGGTGCAAATTTTTCTTTGAAAGGTTTTGTGTTAGTAGCATAACACAAACATCCAAAAACCTTCAAATTGTGATAAGTAGACATTTTCTTATGCAAGATCTCATAAGGCATTTTCCAGTTAAGTATGACAGTAGGCAGTTTATTAATGATATATGTTGCCATCAAAATAGATTATCCCCAAAAACATTTTGGTAAACTTGATTGAAACATGAGAGCTCTAGATATTTGCAAGAGATGCTTATATTTCCTCTCAACAATACCATTTTGTTGAGGCATATAAGGGCAACTTTTTTGATGAAGAATCCCATTTTCAGCTAAAACATTCCTCATTTCAAAGTTTGTAAACTCGGTTCCATTATCAGTCCTTAAGCATTTTATGTTTTTTTCAAATTGGGTTTTAACCATTTTGTGCAAATTCTTCAAAGTAACAAGAACCTGAGTTTTGTGCTTGATTAAAAATGTCCAAGTGCCTCTACTAAAATCATCTACCAAGGTTAAAAAATAGTGTGCCCCACAAATAGACCTATATTTATATGGTCCCCATAAATCCACATGCAAAATGTCAAATATCTCAGATGTTTGAATGTCACCACTATTAAAAGATAGTCTATATTGTTTAGAAAAAGAACAAACATCACAAGGCGAAAGGATCTCTTTGTTGAATGGACTCATCATTTTCAAATATTTCATAACATTTCCAAAAGCATGCCCTAACCTTCTATGCCAAAGAGTGACTGACTCAGCTCTGGTTTTACTATTGTCAACAAGAGAAGAATTATTGGAAAAAAAAGAATTACAAGTAATGGGAACGAAAGACTTAATGGTTGATTCAAAGAAAGAGGTCTCATCAAGCACATATAGGTTCTTTACCAGCCTTCCTACAGCTATTATCTCCTCAGTCAACAGGTCCTGCAAAAGGCGATGATCTTTCATGAAAATAAATTTCAGCTTTAAGGCTTTTGTTAACTTACTCACTGACAATAGATTGAATCTGAAG